AGTGAGTTAAGAAGCCAAGAGCAAGCATCCTCCTGCACTCTACCAGGAGGAGAATACATGGCCAAGCATTCAGAAACAGGACCGCTGGGCTCACAGGGGGCAAGCCACAGCGCTCCCTCCTGCTGTGCGGCACCTTTACGTGGGAAACACATTCAGCTATCCAGCCTCACAAGGAAGTGACTGATCAGGTTGCATTTTACAACTCCAAATGAAGACTCTCCTTTTTTTTTTTTTCTTCACTAGTTTTTTCAACTGAATCTGGAAAGGTCAAGTCAGAGAATCTATATTTGAATAGATAGGACAATAGTCATTTTCTCTGACAAATCTTCCTGGGGTCTCCAAATTAAGACTTTCCCTGCACTTTTCTTTCTTCTTCCATTTTCTTTCCTTTCTTTCTTTTTGTTTTAGAATTATTTACTGAAGTCAGCACCATGGCTTAAAAGGCTAATCATCTCCCTTCAAATGCTGGCATATCATATAGGAGCTGGTTCATGTTGCAGCTGCTCCACCTCCCATTCAGCTCACCGTTTATGACCTGAGAATGCAGCAGAAGATGGCCCAAAGCTTCGGGATCCTGAACTCACTTGGGACACCTAAAAGAGGCTCCTGGCTCCTGGTTTCTGATCAGTTCAGCTCTGACCACTGTAACCATTTGCGAAGTAAACTATGGACAGAAGATCTTTCCCTATCTCTCCTTCTCTCTATAAATGTGCTGCTCAAATAAAAATAAATAATTTTGGCTTGTCATGATGGACTAGTGGCTAAATCCTTGCCTTTCATCTGCCAGGATCCTATATTACTGTTGGTTCATTTCCTGACTGCTCCACTTCCAATCCAGCTCCCTGCTTGTGGCCAGGGAAAGGAGCAGAGGATGGCCCAAGGCCTTGGGTCCCTGCACCTGCATGGGAGACCTGAAAGAAGCTCCTGGCTTCAGATCAGCTCAGTTCTGACAGTTGAAGCCACTTGAGGAGGGAACCAGCAGACAGAAGATCTTTCTCTCTATGTATCTGCCTTTCTAATAAAAAATCTTTAAAAACAACTTTAAAAAAAAAGAGTTATTTATTTATTTGAAGGCAGAGTTACACAGAAACAGGGAGAGACAGAGAAAGAGAAGGATTTCTCCCATCCACTGATTCATTCCCCAAATGGCTGCCATGTCCAGGGCTGCGTCAGGCTGAAGCTAGGAGCCTGGAGCTTCCTCTGGGTTTCCCACGTGGATGCAGGAAACCAAGGACTTAGAACATGTCTTGCTGCGTCCCTAGAGCATTAGCAGGGAGCTGGATCAGAAGTGGAGTGGCTGGAACTTGAGCTTGGATTTGGGAGTTGGCTTTACCCAGTGCTAACAGTGCCAGCCCTGCCTCTGTTTCTTCTCTCTGTTTTGTTAGCTGTTCACCAGGCTGCTGTGCTCAGTGACACAGCCCTGGTGCTCCTTCTAGTCACACCCAGCACGGAAACGGATGGCAGTTCAGGACATTGCAAAACTTTAAACAGAAATGACATTCGGTATAGTGACAGCTAAGGACGCTCTCGTGGGTCTTTAATGAAATGAAAATCATAGGTTCTCCATTCACCAGCAATTACAAATGAAAAAAGCTATCTCAATAGCCCAAGAAGTGAGATGAGCAATTTGGAAGAGTATGTAGGTAACTATTTTCCCAGATCAAAAATTAGACCAGTATAAATTTTCTTACAGAAGGAAAGAAAAAGATTAAGAAAAAAAAATCTCTCAAGACTGATGTCCTTCGCTTTCCTTTGTTAAAAATGCATTTTTGTAGCAGTACGTAAGAACAGAGAAATCGCAGTTTTAAGGCACCAAAAGAAAAAAACCAAAAGTCCAGCAGTAAAAGGCCAGAGCTTATGGGCTTCATACACTTATCAATAACTTCATATGAGGGTACAACATGGAAAGTAACAGGGAAAATCCCATGGAGATAGGCCTCTGTAAGGTTTAGGATGAAGGTCAACTCATAAAGCATATTTTAGGAACATTAATGTGCAAGTCCATTAAAAAGACACAATCATTATTATTTATCTACCAATTTAAAACCACTTTCGAACATCACTTTTGGATCTTTCTGTTACTTTTTTTACTAGGAAGACTAGGGTCTGGTGTTGAGTTGAGCTGCCGCTTGCGACACTGTCATCCCTGTACTGAATTGCTGGTTCAAGTCCCAGCTGCTCAGTTTCTGAGCCAACTCCTTACTTATGTACCTGGAAAGCAGCAGAAAATGGCTTAAGTTCTTGGGTCCCTGCTATCCACATGGGAAGCAAGGATAGAGGTTCCAGGTTTCTGGCTTTGCTCTCAATCAGTCCCGCTATCACAGCCATTTTAGGAGTGATCCAATGAATGAAAGATCTCTCTCCCTCTCCCCATATGTATCAATCTGTCTTTCAAACAACTGAATTAAAAAAAAAAAAAAGACGTAAAGGAAGACTAAAACCAAAATCCAGCAATCAAGAATAGTCTTACTACCAACTATGAGAAGTAATATTTCAACAATGACCTGATTGTTAGTACATTGGACCTTCAATTTCCCATGATTTCGCCCTTAGTTTTATTAGGCTATTCCAGTTCCTCAGATCTCATCTGAGATCCATGAAAAACAAAGGGATTCATGCTATATTTTTAAAGATTAAACACCCTTCAGTGACATCTCAGGGTCCTGATTCATATACTCCAACTGGACCTAGCCTTTAAAATAATATCCTAGCCAGTAGAATTCTAATATTTGATAACATATGTTAAAATTTCCACACCAGTGGTTAGCTTGTCCAAAATGGGGCATGGGACTCTCCAATGTCATACCGCTTTTGCTTTCTATTTTTTTTTTATAAACCCCTAGACACAAATACTACTGATTTCTCTGATAAACTTCTATCAGTTCCACCATGACTCCCAAAGCATTTGCTTTGGAGAGGGTGTGCCTGCAAAAACAACTTCTATCATGGTGAAAGCAATGGCCCTTTTTTTTTTTTTTAGGCTTATTACAGGGGCCAGGGCCTTTTAGCAACTCAACACTCTATCCAAGCGCTTGATCACAGCAGTCCTATGGCTGGGCACTGTGAAGCCTGTGGGTTTCACAGGGGCTCCTGAGGACTTGCCCACAGCCCTGAGGGAGCCCCGTGGGGAAGTGGTTTTTATTGCATGCAGAGAGGATGACTGTGATGGCTGATGCACACGCAGAGTGGCCTGGGTGACTCCGGAGACGCGAGCATGAGCTTACTCTGGCATGGCTGTAGTAATATCGTACTGGGAGATGGGAGAGGTCATGAATATGTGATGTGGGAATGAGGGTGTGGCAAGTGAGAAAAGAAGAGAACCAGTCCTAGGGAGGGGAAATCCACACGGCAGAACGTCTGCTTCCCCTGCAAAAATTCTGCTTATGCTGCTGTGAGGCTCTGTGGGGCTTCCTCATCTCTCGTCTCCTTTCAACAGGAACAGGTCTGGATAAAGGTGCAAGTCTCACAAGATTCTGTGGCAAGTATGACTAATAGTTCTCTCAAACACCCTATGTCTTCTTTTGTCGGACACCATGGCATACAGGTGATTATTTAATGCTTCATTTAGACTCACAGGCATATTTTTAGGAGCCTAACAATCATTAGCAAATACAGAGTGGACATTTTAAGATCTCCATTACACAGCACAGCGTTCCTTTGAAATGGAAAAAAAATGGCCCATTAAAGAGATTCTAAGAAACTTCTCCATAAAGGAACTTAAAAGTGGAATTATTTATAAGCCATCTAAATTAAATGCCTTGTTTTTAGACAGCACCAGGTATTGCAATATAAAGAGGCTTTCATTTTCATTTTCCTTATATTTGGGTATTTAAACATGAGGTTCCATTATAAATTCCAAACATAACTGAAGCCTTTAAAGCACTTGAGAAATAAAAGTAGAAATCAGGTTTAAAAAATAGGACAAGAAAACGATCATTTCTGGGTCGGCCTTGGATGATGTCATCATAGGTTCTAAATGTAATAGCGAAGCAGTGTACACTATAACTCCGACTGCCCATGTGACCTCTAACATTAATCTGGACAAAACAACTAATATTTCAATCATTTTGTGATGGAGAAGTCAGATTTGGAAGCACAAGATTAAAGGGAGTTTAGAGTGATGTGAGTGTGTGTGTGTGTGTGTGTGTGTGTGAGTGCGCACGCGCACGCGTGGGGGGCCAAGGGGAGGAGGCATGGAAACTAACTCTTCCAGCACACACCCCTTTTGCTACTACAAGGGCATCCAGCAATCACATTTGCAATAGTAAAAATGCTGAAGAATCCTACAGTCTCATTGCTTCCACAATCACCCCTGAGCCTCTCTTACAAAGCCCAGCTTGCTTTATTGGTGCCAGGAAATTCTTCAGGGGTTAAACGGGGAAGTGCAGCCACTACCATTGTTGCAATAAATAAATGAATGAACCAGAACGAACCAGCCATCCATCCCTGGGAAGCAGGCATCTTATTTTCTACCATTATATATGTGAGGCAGCAACCACATATTTTTAAAATGTTGCTTTATCTTTGGATGTGTGTGTACACATTACAGACATGCATGCATTTATACAAAACGGAACACAGTGCCCTGCAGACATCTACCTCAATATCTTAAAAAAAAATTTAGAATTATTTATTTCAACCAAAGGATGAATAGCTTTAAAAAAAATGGGGGTAGACTAACAACTTACATTTTAAAGGCCTCCTATGTTGCACATACAGCATATACAAATACACACAGAACACACACATACACACACAAAGGTTTTTTTTTTTTCCCTCCATGCCATAGACAATGCTAAAATATCTGAGATCAGGTTGCTATGCCAACACATTTTTTTTTTCTAAAATGAATAAAATTATTAGCAGAGAGAAAAACATTCTTGACTCCTTTCCCTCCCATCCATGAAGCCGAGAGAGAGAGGGAGGTTCAGGGAGGCCGAGAGGCTGCCAGATGGGGAGGAGGGAAGGCAGGGAAGGTGGGTAGAGGGGTGTTTGCTTACCAAAGATGCTGATTTGATCGTGGCAAAGCGCTCTCTGTTCCGGTAGTGGAGGGCCTGGCTCTGAACTGACTGGGTAGGCCGCGGCTCAGGCCTGGGATCGCCGTGGCCCGCCTCATCCCTTATGAATACATGATCCTGCAGAAATGGATAAAAACAAGGAGAAAGTCCAGCTGTGCTCTTTCCTCGCCGGCTGCCTCTCGCTCACCCCTCTTTCTGCACAAGCACTGCTGTTTGAAATGCATAGTTTAGCTCTCTGCTAGTCCCCGCAGCTCCCACGGTACAAAATGAATAAGCAACACATTGCAGACTTCAGTTAGGAATGTCAGCTGATCGCTAGCGGGATGCCTTCTGAATCCCTGGCAGGCTTTTCCTTTACCTCCAGAATCACATATAGGCAAAAGAAAAAAAGAATAGAAAAAACAATGCCATGTACAGACTCCTTAGCACAGTTTGCTTAAAGCGCGGTAACCAAATAATTCCTTTAAAAATGTCATGTCCATGGCTGGCAGGGAGGATGCTGGTGGCTTTTAACATAAAAGCGAGCCTCCGGCTCATTCCCTTGAAGGATCTGCTTTCTCAGTTTAATTTTATTTGAGATCTGTTCGGTGGCATCATCGTTCTGCTTAGAATCAGTGGAGGTTTGTGCTGAACTGCCTCTCTGTCTTGTGCTGGGAAGATTCGGCAGTCACTGAGGGATCCTGCTTTCCAGTCATGATCGTACACAGTTCTAGCACCTTCTCTCTACAGCTTCTGAAAGGATTTTTTTTTTTTTAGATTTAAAGAGACAGGCGTACAATTTTCACCAAATGCTAGTTTCACAAATTCTTCCTCAACTCAGCATCGGTATGGTCACCAGAGCGAGCAAAGCTGGAATTTAATGTCCTTGCCTGATTTAATCAAGCCTTCGTTTCTTGATAGGTGAAGATGATTAATCTTATTCTAATGACCAGTGAAAACTAGCAGTCCCTTGAAGGATAATAATGGATGTGTCTTCAGCGCAACTGAAATGACTTTTAAAGGGGACAATGCTTTCAAAGGACAATGCTCCCCTCTGCAAAAGATGAAGTGGTCAGTCAGGGATTAGCTTTAAACCTTCAGAAAAAAAAAACACCCAATAATAATTTGTAGCTCAAAAAACATGTACAACGATGGGGGATTTAAAAATAGTACATGCCCAGGAGGGGGAAATGGAAAATTCACCCCTATTTTTCTTGGGTCTTAGGAGAAACCATTGATGAGAAGTCAGTTTTGCATTTTGTCTGTTACTATTTAAGATGTTTTTAAATTGCTTTCTCTACCAGAAAACAAGAATTAAGACAGTTTAGAAAATAGTACATTTTATTATTGTCTAAAAAATTTAGAAAAATCAAAACACACATATTCCTGGAGAAAAAAATTAAATTTCACATCTAGATTTTCATGTAAAAGATATAATTGATTACTGGGTGAAGTTAATTTTCTTTTTACACATTTTAAATGTTTCCATATGTTGGGAAGCTATTTATCACATCTATGTTTAGAAATTGTTTTTCAATTTATGTATTGCAGTTCAAATAATGAAGCAATCATTAATAAATTTGTCACTGAGAAACATACAAAATTCACGGGGTTATCTACAATCGTGTAGTCACATAAGATGGCTACTAGCCACATGTGGCTATTTTGATTGAGATTAAGGAAATAAAATGGAAAATTCAGCATCAGTTGAAAAGTCACAGCATCAGTTTCAAGCCCCCAGTAGCCACAGTTGGCTACCATATTGGATAGCAGACACATGGAACATTTTTAACATGGCCCCAAGTTCTACCAAATCTGGCTGCACAGCTAAAAATTTATCTCTTAGGGCATGTTTTTAAAATTAACAAGAAAACACTTAAAGCGTCACATAAAATGATTCTACATAATTCTTTGGGAAATTTGAACTCTCATTTTGTCAGAAAAAAAAATTGATTGGGATTCATGCTCCAAGTTTAAGGTTTTAGTGAGAAATGTGCTGGGACCTGCTACCACTTAAATATTCAGATCTATCAATAAATTATATTTATATCTGAGAGTAAGCAGTTCCCACATGACAATAGCAGAAAAGATATACTAGGTAGAGGTCTGTGATTTTTAATATGAGGTCTTAATAAGTCATAGCTTTGGTGAGGAATAGTGGATTGAGAGCAAGACCTCTTATATGTGATGACAGCTAAGTTCCAAGTGATAAAACTTGATTTACAAATATAAGCAGTGATATAATAGATCAAAACAAAACTTTTTCATGCACAAGTGTGTACACTTTTATTATTCTGTTTTTCATTGTAGATAAACATTAACACTTTGGGCTTAACATCTTCTTATCGAATTTGAAACATACTATATTTCTTTCGTTTTTGTTTTTTAATTGAAAAATCTACACTTTCATTGTAAGTGATATTAAACCTGGTTCCAGGATACTAAAAGCTGTGACTATTTAAATATACTCTACAAAATAGCACACAGATTTGTTGTACATAACCTACACACATTCTCACATCTTCCTATATAATTTGTCATTTCTAGATTACTTTTAATACCTCCTGCAGTATCAATACTAGGTAAATGACTGCCTGCCTTTATTTGGAAAATAATAACAAAACAAACACTTTGTACATGTCCAGTACAAAAGCAATTAAAATAAAACTCAGCTTTTAAGTTGACCTATGAACAGTGTGCAGATGTGTGATGGCACGAAGTGCTTTAGTGCATATATTTCTCTTGTAATATTTAAACCTGGGTAAGCATATCTACTTCCACAAGCATCTATCATTTCTTTATGGTGAGAGCATTTCAGGTCCTTTCCTCCTGATTTTTTGAAATGCATAATACCTTATAAAAAAAAAGTTACACTGTATTTCTAAGGTCACTAAGTTAAAGAAATGAGAATACACTGGGAAAGTAAAAAACTTGAAACCACAGTTTAGGTGGCACACAGGCGACTGAAAAGCCGTAAAAAAAAGAATGTATTTAAAAAATAACGATATTTCAGAAATTTAAAAAACCTTTCAAATCATTAATCTGCTTTATTTTTATATGTAAAAATTTGAGATTTGTTTATTTATTTACAATCTTATTTATTTATAAAAGGCAACACATATTATCTATTTCACAATATAGATTTAGGAACATAATGATACTAGCCTGCCCCACCTCACTTGTCCATATCTTCTTTTCTCTTCCTTCCTTTACTTATTTTTAATTTTTGCGAAGATATGCTTTCAATTTGGGTTTATAATAACAAGCTTATCCTTTCCTAAATAAAGAATTCAACAATAGAGCCCAGCACAGTAGCCTAGTGGCTAAATCCTTGCCTTGCACACGCTGGGATCCCATATGGGTGCCGGTTCATGTCCCAGCAGCTCCACTTGCATCCAGCTCCTGCTTGTGGCCTGGGAAAGCAGTCGAGGACAGCCCAAAGCCTTGGGACCCTGCACTCATGTGGGAGACCTGGAAGAAGTTCCTGGTTCCTGGCTTTGGATCAGCTCAGCTCTGGCCATTGGGGGCTACTTGGGGAGTCCTTCTTGCTGAAATCTTTCTAGTAAAATTAAAGCAAGTAGTAAATGGAAAAACCACTGTTCCTCAGGAATGCTGACAGAGGCTATAAACAGTAGTTAATCTATTTTAAATATAACAAATAATACTAACATTATAATGTTTTTCTTTTTTCTTTTTCCTTTTATAAAATAATTCTTGGCTTTTCCATAGGAGCTCCAAAACAGAGATCACCATAAAAATCTTCAAAATCGGGCCTGGCAGCATTGCCTAGCAGCTAAAGTCCTCACCTTGAATGCGCCAGGACCCCCTATGAGTGCCAGTTCTAATCCCGGCTGCTCCACTTCCCATCCAGCTCCCTACTTCTAGCCTGGGAAAGCAGTTGAGGATGGCCCAAAGCCTTGGGACCCTGCACCCACTGGGACACCTGGAGGAGATTCCTGGCTCCTGGCTCTGGATCGGCGCAGCACCGGCGTTTGCGCTCACTTGGGGAGTGAATCACCGGATGGAAGATCTTCCTCTCCGTCTCTCCTCCTCTCTGTATATTTAACTTTGTAATAAAAATAAATAAATCTTTTTTAAAAATCTTCAAAATCAATACAGGAAGAAACCATACAATATGGGGAACATTTTTATTCCAAGAGTAGACACTCATTTCATGTGTACTAGGACATGAAGTTTTAAATATTTAGCTCCACCTCAATCGGTAAAAAACACAAAAAGGCAACTTTATGAAGCCATTTAACACCAAGGGCTGATTTTTCTCTCAGATAGGTAAAACAAATAAATATAAATTTTAAAAAGGGAAGGAATGGGTTGGGCCTGGTGATTGAGGTGCCATTTGGGACACACACATTCCTTCCTGGAGTGTCTGGGTTTGAGCTTCCCCTTTTAGCTGCTTGCAAATGCACATCCTTGGAAACAGTACACAATGGCCCGAGCAGGTGGGTCTCCACCACGCCTGCAGAGGGGCTAGGGTGAGCAGGTGGCAGGTTGGGTCTCCACCACTCCTGCAGAGGGGCTAGGGTGAGCAGGTTGGGTCTCCACCACGCCTGTGGAAGGGCTAGGGTGAGTTTTGGAACTCCCAACTTTCTTCTTGCTCAGTGTTGGCTGTTTAGATACATGAATAAAAGTGGTTTTAAAATTTTTTTCAAACCTAAAAATGAAGAGAATGTGCCTTGAGAGGTGAGTCCAAACTAAAGTATCTGGCTTTACTGGGTATTGTTGTCTGTTGGTTGTATTTGTTGTTTCTCAAAGTAGCAGTTCCTTTCACAATAACCTCAATATCATGCTCCCAGAATTTCCGGACTGCACACAACTTAAAATTTCTTTTTAAAAATGTTCATTCTCTTTCAAAAAGCAGAGACAGACACAGAGAGATCTACCTGCTGGTTCACTCCCTAAATACCTACGATAGTAGTGCTGGGTCAGGTTGCAGCCAGGAATCCAGAATTCAGTGGAAGTCTCCCATGTGGGTGGGGGAGACTCAAGTACATCAGTCATTCCCCACTACCTCTCAGGACACACATCAGCAGGAAGCCGAATCAGAAGTTGAGGAGCCAGAACTTGAACCACCAGGCACTCAGGTATGAAAAGTGGTGTCCCAAGGGGGTGATTTAATT